ATATAATAATATTTATACTCCAACCAATGAGTTTCCGTTATGTATGTAAAAAATAATTTATTAATCCCAGTAAATTGTGTTTACCTATATTACTACTATTATTGCATATAATATATATTATAGCTTTAATAATATATACTTTGCAAATGACAGTATAAATGTTTCCATATGATTTCAATAATTTTATAATGATTTATATTTCAATTTATATAAGAAAGCTTAATTTCAAGTCAGGTCGAATGCGAACCTTTTGTATCCATACAGTATTATATCTTAGCATCAATAAATACTGATGCGAGTATATTATTTACATCAAAATTATTTGGATGATTTCCAGATTATATTATTATTATTATTATTATTTAATAGAATATATTTATCTATATTAACTCGAGGGTGTGGTTTGGAATACGGAAAAATAAAAAAATACGGATCTTGGAGATCTCGCATAATACACATAGGCGTAATAAATTATCATCTTACTGACATTACTTTTTTTTTACATTTCTGCACTATTCCACCATTCTTATTCTATATAAATACCGATTGCCGCATAACACTCAGGTTTTCAATTATTCCACCGTCTATTTATCGATTGAACTACGTTTTCGTATGTCGGCACGAGAGGAAAAAACTGCGCAAAAATACTATAAATTCTATCGTGATTATATCTACAGGTTGTTTATTAAATGCTCTAGAATTTATTCGTAATATGCTCTCTATACACTGGAGCTTTAGTACGTACGATAATATATGATACATATTATGCACACGTAAGAAATCAATACATTCAGTTACAAAAAATTAAACCGATAAAAAACGTTGGTCTATTAAATTCTCAAAAATATACACTTTATTACATTACATTAACACATTTTTAAAATTTTTCAAAAAGTTTACCTTGAATATGAAACTTACAACTTTAAAACGATGCCCAAAAAGTAATAATTACAAATGTAATTAAAAATAATAACATGAAAAAAATTACATGATGTAGGAGGTTTCTTAATAAAGATAGCTTCTTTTGATTTTAATGAAAAATTCTATTTAGGGATGTTCTCTACACCGTTTTTGTTTTCATCAGCGACTCCGATTGTCTGATACTTGATATAAACCATAGTAACTTATATTAGAGTTAGATAGGAGCTTGATTTTTTTATGTAGGTTTTATTAAAAAAAAAAAAAAAAAAAAATGTTCAATTTGATTTGTAAACCAGAGTATAAAATATTTGTTACTTACATACTTAAGATATACCAAAGAATATTGTATGTTTTTAATGTTAATTATTGATAAAATATATTTTACAGCAATACAATCAGAGTTGGACAAAAATAAATCAAAATAAAGAATAAAAAATAAAAGCATGAATAACTAATTTATATATGAATAAAGAATAAAATTATTCTGAAAAGTTTTATTCGTGAATAAAACAATTATTCAGAATACATTTATTCGTTAAAATCATGAATGGTATTAATTTTTTTTTTTTAACTTGTGTTTTATACTAATCACAATCATATGGGCGTGAATTGTGCTTTATTAAGACCTACATTTTGGTAACTAAACAGGTTACTAGCAGAAAACTATTATAGAAATGTTATCACTTTTGGCGTTTTTACATTAATCTTTATTGATACATCGGTAAATTACCAAACAAATTTTTACGTAAATTTCATATAATTTAACATTTTAGAACATCTACATTAACGTTTAAGAATTAATGATTAAATAATAATTCAAGTAATAACAACAATAATAAAAATTTGTAGTAATAATTATAACAATTATCGTTATAGTAACTATAATAACGTATGTGTATAAAAAATAATAACATTTTCATATATATATAGGGGTTAGGTTAGGTTATATATAGGTTATATATTTATATATATATATATATATAATTATTATTATACATCGTTATTTAGGGTTTAAATTTATTATTTATGTAGTTATAGGGAATAACGAATGAAATATAGTAAATAAAAATCAATAATAAAATTAAGAATAAATCAATGAAGAATTATTTTTTATTCAAATAATCAATCGAATAATATTTTATTCCACTAATGCCCAACTTTGAATATAATGCCTATAGTCCATTAGATTATTTAAAGACAAGCCACAAAAAATTATTATCTAATCAATTAATACTGTAAAAAAAATCTAAACTTTAGATTTATAATGAAATATTGAAATATATCGTAGGTAAGTATACTCTTGGTCAGATTAATGTAATGTATTTAAATAAAATTGCTTGTGGATGTATGGTTGATGAAAAATACTGTAATACATTGATGGTTTAACATAAAAGAGAAAAACGAAATACTAAAACATATGTCAGGACTGCAAAATAATTTAAAAAAAATAACGAACACGGCTCATTGTGTAGGCAAAATTAGTACATATAGGTATGTGAAGGGAATAATATGTTATACATTTTCTCCCCATACAAAATTTGAAATATTTTAATACTATGGTATTTATTAGAACGGTCTATTATTTACAAGTTTATAAAACTTATATTTTAATTAGAACATTTGTATCAAAATTTTCGATTTTATGCTTTACATAATTTCATAAAAATACTAAAAACTATTTGTTCGAATATCTAATACAATTGATTCAGCTTAATATAATTACCGATTAATAAGGACTATCGATTTATCGGAATTATTCTTCAATTACGATAGTAAATGTATCTTTGTAGTGTAGGCGTGCATCGTTTATCTAGACCACGAATCCGGATAGTAGAAAAATTTTTATTGAGTATATTATATAAATAAATAATAAAACAAAAACTTGAACACCGTTTATATTTTATGCAAATTCGTGTGCATTTTATGGTGGTTTAATATAATTAATTATTAATTATTATACTCATGTTTCATTTCAGTATACCTTTTGTATACAAATATATTAAATGTTATCATGTAACCAAAATAATCAGTTTTATTTGTAACAGTCTACTTAGAGATAATATCTGTAACGATTGTTACGATTGGGTCTGCAACTATACATTTAAAAACATTTGGCAGGAAAGTAAAACAATAAACAAAATGAAATAACGAGGATAAAGATATTTGGGGAAGGAGGAAATTTAAATTTAAAATACGTGTTCGTATGAAAAAAAAAAAATTCGATCACATTTATTTGATTCTGAACCATGAAACGAATGTAAACGAGTTCAAATTTTAAATTTTCGCTTTCAATATAGATGACGATATACGTTATAACATTTGAAATAATTGCTCTGATGAAATTTTGATGTGGGATTTAAATTCCATTTAATCTGAACCATGTAATAAAATATCGATTTCGTTTATAATTTATACAAAATATAGTTGGTACATTAACAAGATATTAGTTATTAGTATAAAAATAAATATTATATACATTGAAAAGAGACCTATAAGTTGCGTAGTCAGGATTTTGAAATTTGAGAGGATAAAAACTTTCTTGGGCAGGTTAGATAGGAGAGAATATAATAGTTAACTCATTTGTGACCATTTGCAAGAAATCGCCATTCGTGTGTAGCTTCATTTTCAATTGAATATCCGCGATAAGTTCTATGCGAGTTGAAAATGTAACTTAAAATCACTTTTACCAGGGCCCATAGTATAATATCAAAAAATTTACTTAAATTGGCGTAAATTCGGTTAATATTTCTTAAATACGCAAATGTAAATTACACGTAGTATTTTTTATTCGTGTTACTATTTTTAAATATTTATTTTGCTATTACAATCCATCACTATAGAAGTCTTAAAGACGAATCATTTAAATTTTTTTATTTCTGATTTCGATAAAATTCAATTTTTTTAAAAACATGTGTTAAAAGTGTTAGGTACATGAACAGAAAATGTTTCCTGTAACCCATTATACATCATTTAGATTCTTGTAGCTTCCTGATGGCAATTTATATTTATTTTTAGTGCGGCCTGTATTTGAATATGGCTCAGTAGTTCGGTCAATAGATTTATTATGTGGAAATAGATAGTTGGATATTGTCCAGAGCAGATATTTAGATACCACCGGGTGTATTATATATAAAGGGTGAATTATTGGATTCATAGTTATGGTCTAAAATAACGAGTAATAAGTCCCTACTAAAATAAAGGTAGTGTACAAAATCAATCATACAAATAATTACATCATTTTGTATTAGCTAAATTACCTGAACTCACCTGGAAGATATATTACAATTTTGAATTAGAGCAATTACATATAATCTTAAACCTTAAAACTATAGATAGATATAAGCTCATAAAATCGTCGTATATTATAATTATTATTATTATTATTATTAAATTATTATATTAAATTTGTTTTTATTAGTGTGTATTAAATACGTATATATCACCTGGTAATTTTTAAAATCAACATATTAAATATAATAAAACATTTATACATCAAACTCAAAACTATTTCAAAACTTAAAAAATATTTTTCGAATTTTCAATTTTTTTTTATTTTTGCATATTTAGAGTGTTATATCTAACCACTATGTCAGTTTTCAAGTTTGTACATTTTATTTTCTTTGATATACAGCGATCAGTTAGCGAAGGAATTGTACTTGAATTTTATATATAAATATATATTAATTATATTACGTACATAATACTATAATATATTATTTTTCTTATTTCAAAACAGAGAAAATAATTTATTACATGTTTCTTTGGCAATCGGTTTCATGTGTTACTAATTAAATACAACTTTAATTAGTTTACTATAAACACTTTTGTAGTTTTTATTAAATTATTCAAGCAATAAATTGTACGTACTTAGATATTTAATATAAAATAAAATAAAAATGAACAATACCTACTGTGGTTATTTTTATAGGGAATGAAAAAATAAATATTATTATACAATGGATGATGCAAAAAAAAATGGTATCATAAATTTCAAAAACTAAAGTAAAGTTTTACCTTTGTTATAGTTGAATAATAATTAAAAAACTGAAATACAATACAAATATTTATTTCACACTTACGGTTTAAAATGATGATATTCTCATATCAATTAATTTAAATTCTTTTCTTAAAAGTTTATCTGAAATAAAAGAAATAACAATAATTATTTTTTATCGTATAAATTACATATTATTAAACATGGCATAAATCTTTTATATTTTCTGTTGGTAGATAAAAATTTAATTTCTCTGAGGAAAATCGTAGTGACATTGAATGTATTATAAATATATTTATATGCTCACACAATTCAGGTTTCTGTTGATTTATAAAATGATTCAATGTCCTATCCACCGAGTATCAATTATTATCATATTGATAGTAAATCGAGTATATTTTTCCGCAATTATACGATAGCTGAACAATATTAACACAAGCTAATTGAAGGGGACACAATTATAAATGCAAATACACTTGTGTTCGAAATAAAACTACAAGTACATTTAGCAGAATTGGACGCCACGTGTGCTCAATTTCAAATTTAATATATACCGCCCAACAATATAAATACGTAGGTTAGAATATATATATATGTTTGTGAGTGTGTGTGTCTCAGCAACAAAAAATAAATAACTTAATTTGTTTTTTAGTAATACCGTTGAATTAGTTGTTTGTACTAAAATTACTGTGCTCATATCTCGAGGTCAATAAATTCGGAGAGTTTTTTTTTTTATCTTTTGTGTAATTACAAAGGTTTAATCTTCATTAGATTAATATCTCAAAGTGGTTGTAATATGAATGTTTGGCGTACATTACCGCGTACCCTTTACGGTTTACAACACAGCTTTATTATTGGTACCATTGCGCTTTTACATGGTAAAAGAACGAGTATCATACGCTTTTAAGCTCACGTGCATATTTATAGAAGCATGAATTTACATTAAATATCAATTAAATAACACGTGAAAAAAGACCCGATGCGTTCAAATGTCGTTTTTAACCGACTTTCCGTGAAAAAAAATCAAACATCACGATCGTTTATCCAATATATAATATAGCATATATTATGATTATATAGCATTGTGTAAAATGTGTGCAGGTGCTGTTATTTTAATACAAACGGCGATAAAACAATGTCGATTCCATTAGTATGTATGGACGATACGGTAACTGCGATGGTTTTATATAAATAAGAATTTTAAACACGTTTTCTCTACTCGTTTGTATTTAAACGCCACGCTATTGTCGGAATTTTTGTTTAACGTCGACGGTTATTATAACAGTTATGAAATATACAAGCACACGGTTCACCGGACGAATCAAATACATGTGCCGCACGCATAGGCGTGCACACGGGAGCTGCTGGGTGTGCACCCCACGAAATATTGTAAACAATTCCCTACTATTTAAGTCTAAGAGTGAGGGGCGCGTATTTCAACCGATATCACTCAAATTAAATGTAATTTATTCTTAAATATTTGGTGAAAAATTAATGTTTCGTCATAGAACGGAACAAAACAAAATTTTCGCGTGAAAACTTCTTATAACAGTTTAACTGCAAAAGTACAAATCATGAAAAATCGAAGGTATCCGAGAAAAACGTACGAGATTCGACAAACGCATTCATCGGGATTAACGTATCGGAATATCAAATAAAGTTATGTTTAAATCGTTGATCAACAGTATTGTATGGAAAATATACCGGAACGTTTCGTCGATACACAGGGCTCAAAAGTATCGCGGGCACCCCCTGAAATACAGGTCTGAACCAGCCCGTGGCCGTGTTCGAGCCTGTAAACGTAAGGCCTCGCGCTATCCCGTGCGCGTACGTAAGTCGAGTTTAATTTTTATTTTCCGCTCTCCGACGTCAACAACGAGCGCGCGCATACCGTGAAGAACGGCTTTACGCGCGGACGGTGCAACTCGAACGCACTGCGACTCGTTTAAACTTTCTAGTCAAAACCAAACGATTTGTCACCGGCGCGCACATGCATACACTTACGCATTTACGCACGCACTTGCACGCACGCACACACTACCTAGTAGAGTTGACTAACCTGAACACGCGCGCGGAAACAGTACCGAACGGGTAGTGCGCGCGTTAATTTTACTTCTATACATTATGCAAAGAACACTTGTCATGATCCGTATTTAAACATCTCGCACCGTCACCATTGATTGCTTTCACGATTAAGTTTAGGAAAATAGTTTAAATAAGAACGCGCCACTTTTTCCGAACGATTCCAAACTAGAACAATCGAAAACCAAATACTAAAAATATTTAAATCTACTGCTCTAAAAACAAAGTTTCATAAATAGTATTATCGTAAAATAACGGGACGGATGGATTTATGTATATAGTGTATACATAAACTATACTCTATACTGTATACCATGTATACTATATACTCCGCATACCAACACCGATATGGACAATTCTACGAACAGTACTACGAAACGATAATAATGAAATTTCAAATTTAATAAAAAAATTCACGAATTCACGTCTAATTAAATTCACAAGTTCATGTGAATTTATTTCACATGATTGCATACGTGAATTTAACTACACGTGAAATAGAGACCTAATTCCGAACGTCGGCGTATGCTTGCTGTTACACGCCCATTCGTTTGAACAGGCAATTGCACTGTCAAGACTATGGTCGGTTCGTGTAACTCGTGCGTTTTCCGCTGTCTAGAGCTTAGCTATTCCATAGCATCGTAAACATATAAATACGTCTTTTATAAAGCCATTGTAGTGTTGTAAATCAGAAAAAATTAGACGTGAACTGCACGCGAGCACTTGTGTACAAAGTACAAATATTTATGTTTTTGGACTGATTTCACGTTCCCCTCCTCCCGCATCGACCGACATTTTGGTAAAAAGAGTCACCGAGTCGGCAATTTGATATAAGCACGCGGCCGACTGTCTTATTCTGGAAAAATTTGAAATGATTCCACCGGGTTATATCCCTCGAGGCGAGTGTCACGTGTCAATCGCCGGTTGCACCGTTATCCTGAGACAGGTGCATCGACGTCGTGGAATTGTTACACGGTCTAGGAAGCAACCGAAGACGACTTTTGGTGTTCGAAATGGATTTGGCGGAACGATAAAACGCTTTGAATATTAGACGATTGAAACGACTTGCACGTTATCACACCTAACCGATTTTATAAATCTATTTCTTAATGACGTCCACTTCAGTTTTTGTTTGCCCGTTGTGTACCGCTACAACATTCGTCTATCACATCAGATATGGTGCCAATTTTTTCGGTGACGTTTGTTCATTGATTTTTTTACGATCCTTGGTCAACAGCGTCAATTATCACTAGTGTTTGATTTTTTCTTTAACACTCGACTGATCAGCTGTTTATCAAAAGAGCCGTTACATTGAACGGTCTTAAAAATATATCACACCACTGTAACCGTAACCAATCTTACATCCATAGTCGTTATCTCATATAATAATGAGTAAAGTCTTATAAAAATTATAGAACGGATCCGCCGCTTGAGACAACTATGATCAGAATTCTCATCTCACTTTTCACTCTCTCTCTTTTTCTCTCTCTCTATTTCTCACTATTTATACATTCAATATTTTTCACAAGCTTACACGTAATATAATTGGATCCTAAATACATCTCAATATACTTAGCACTATAAAGTTATTAATTTTACGACCGGAGCAGTTAAAAAGTAATATAACCGTAACTCGTAATAAAGTATTTACCCTATAAAATCATAAGGTCTACGTACGATAAGGTGATTCACATATTAATATTACTCGTAACTCCGGCAGTTTATCAGTATAGCGGTTATGTAAATTATTTTGAATCCGTTTGAGAAACTGCGTGTCAATATAATATATCAGTATATTTATGGTGATGATCAGGACTCACTGAAATGTAATATAAATGTCTACAGCACATGTATTTTGTGTGACTCAATTTTGTGCTCAATTCATAATAAAGTTCGTACTTCCAGTAATTAGTTTGTACCTACACGGATATGAAATAATTTAATATTAATATTAATCAGACTCTATTTTACTTTAATTTATTACCTTCCCATAAATACTTTTATAAAAATCCTACATGCTCGACCGATAGATATAAACTTATTTTATTTCTCAGATTAAATATTTCATATAAAACTAAACTTATACTCGTATATATAAATTTCTCGGGCTTCTATTGGTAAAATACCAATAATATTTGTACTTAAATTGGCGTAGATTCGGTTAACATCCGTTGAACAAACGACTATAATAAATACACGTAGTTTCTTTTTTATTCAACTGTTTTTAAATATTTATTTTTCTGATTCGAGATATTAATAAAAAGGTATTTAGGACCAAACAATCTTATTTCTTATTCCTGCTTTGGATAAAATTTAGTTTTCCTTAAAATTACGTATTAAAATTATTTTATACATAGGAAATATTTTCTGCAACCCAATATATATGATTTTGATTCCTGTAGTTACCTGATGGTATTTTATACTTATTTTTAGTGCGATCTATACTTGAATATGGCTCAGTATTTCGGTTAACAGATTTATTGCGTGAAAATAAATTTTTGGATAGTGTCGAGAGCTAATTTTTAGATACCATCGGGTGTATTATATATGGGGAACGAATCGTTCGATTCAAAGTTATGGGCTAATATAATGAGTGTTAAGTTCATGACTACTCAAAGAAAAATAGTGTAAAATCGATTTAAAATTAATTTTTTTAGTTTATAAAAAGGTTTATGTTTTCCTTTTTGTATAAATAATATTTTATAAAATACTAAAATGTATATATATTTAGTACATTTTTCGCTGGAGTAGTAATATTATAATTTATTCTTATTTATAACTAAAATAATATGACATGGGTAATTTTTTATTATAATTTTATAATTACTTATAAGCATATTTCATAACCATTAAAATATTTAACTAGAATACGCTTAATCATTTTTTTTTTGTAGTTTATATCATAATTTTATTAAAAATCTCTGAGGAATTATTTTCAAATAAATTTCAACGTTTATATTGAGGGTCTAAGAAGAAATGAATTGAATTATACTATTTTGTATACGTATAAAACATGCTTTATTGCTCAAGAATTTAAACCGACCAAGTGGAGTGAATGTGAA